GTCAGCGGGCCCGCCCGGCTCCGCCCGGGGCCCGCCCCGCCGCCTGCTGGCCGCGCGCGGCACTGCGGCCCCCGGGCCGGCCCGCCGCGCGGCCCCGCCCGCCCCTCGCTGCTGAGGGCATTTCTCCCCGCTCTTGGGCAGCGTTTCGCTTTCAGCGCAGCCCCTCATTGCCCTTCCACAAAGGCTTGCCGGGCGTCAATTACCGACCTTACAAGGAATTTTTGATCTCGTGGCCGTTTTGCGACGAGTCAGCTTAATTAGTCCCGGCAGTCAGTCTCATCTTTAGGCTGTGCTTGTATTAGTGAGAGTCCTGGGGACCGGATCGCTTAGTCAGCGCTTCCTGATGTCATCCGAAGGCTTCGCTTCATACATTTCAGATGAGGCTCGAAGCCTGCTGGCTTCTCCCTCCTCTGATCTATTTTTAATTAGCAGTCTGGGCCTCAGGAAGGTGATCTCGGTGGCACGGTCTGGCTGTGTGTGGATGCTGATGCCGGCGCCGAGGGTAATTCGCAGTTGTCCAGGCAACAGCGAACTGGAGAGAGGAGTGGGAGCCCACGGACAGCTCTAGGGAAGAGATTGCTTGGATGCTCCAGAACAAGATGCCAGGATACCTCACTAGAATGGCAGAATGCCTACAGAAAGAGGACAGGGAGCCAGTAATGGAAAACTTGTTACTTTTTGATGAATTAGCTCCAGATCATGCCAGGAGGACAGTTGTTTTCACTGTCTGCAAAATCTGTGCAAGGCATTCAGGAGAACTGCAAGCTGTCAGGATAAGCCCTCCCCAAAATGAACTGCTTCATGGTGTGGTATGTCTAATTTCCCATTTTTCTTACTAGAGGGATGATTTAGTACCCATGGCTTGGTAACAGATTTCATCTTCCTTGATTATGATACAGATGCAATGCATCAGGGCCACATCCTGCAAGGGACTGAATATCTTCTGAAACATGCTGAGTGCCTTTTGCTCTACCCTTGTCACTAAGAGTAGACAAAAAAGCTCAGCACTTCCCAACCAGCATTTTAGCAAGGGCTGGGACAAAGTCATGGAGTTCTTTGGCACTGTGCAGCCCAGAAGGGCACAGAAGAGGACTATGGGGACTGTTCAACCCAGCCAAAACCTGTGCAAAGTCTGGCACTTTTGCTTGCTGTCTTTACAAGAAATATTGTCATTATTTATTCAGAATGGAAACACAGTCCTTGCTCCAAAGGAGCTCACAGTGAGACAACAAATGACTATTACACACAGTGGCAAGGTAAGGAAACAAGGGACCAGTACTATTAAGTGGGAAAAAGAATTAATTCACAGTCAGATACCATTGCAAAAAAAAAATTCACAAAGATACTCTATTTTCTTGCCTGTTTTCCCTCCCTAGCTAGATTTTCTGCAAAGCTGGAAACGTGTCTGTTGCTTTCAATGTGCTGGGTTTGTTACACATCTTCCTCAGAAAGTTCCTGACCTAAAACACATGGAAAAAGATGGGAGTGTTTTTGCTGGCTTCAGTGGACCCTGGATGAGCCAAAAGTCTTAAATGCAGAATACTTTAGTGGAAATGAGATATCATGTTTGCAGCTGAACTTTTGTCAGCCTAAAACCCCATGCCCCAAAAGATTTATTCAGGGACTTCCTTGTTTACTAGTACTACTAGTTTAGTAGTTTCTCCCACTTTTTCCCTTTAAATGAATGTGTTACAAAAGCAAACCCTGCCACCTAATATTGGGATTGTTTTATGCTTGAATCAAAATATTTTGGTCTCGGGTCCTGCTTGTGCAGATTCACATACCTTAGGTAAAATGCAAATTGTCTTAATATAGTCACCAGTCTGACAGATATTTCACATGACAAGTTTTGAAGAATCTTCTTTTCCAGCAACTGTACAGTCTGAGGAAGTATCTGGATGCTTCCTTAGATGACATGGGTTTGTGCATCAGCAGTAGCAGAGGATTCAGCAGTTATCTGAGGACCTGTACCTTATTTCTGTTTACAGCCATAAGGGTAGAAATGGAAAAAAATTTAGAAATGGAAAAATGTGTGGATCTTATGTCTTTTTTATTTTCAAAAATCTGTCCTCACATATTTTGTTGTTGAACTACACTGTGCTCTGAGATTAAAAATGGAGCTTCATTGCACAGGTTCTTCCCTTTCTTTGCTCTAGCCAACCCAGAAGTCTGAAGGAAAGATGATTTTAATTGAAAGAGCAGGTGCCCTACTGGTAACTACTTCTGCTTGCCTGTCCTCTCTGTTGCAGCACAGCTAGAAAAGAAGCTTTGATGGTGATAAGAAGTAGCAGTAATCCTGCTCACTGCTGTCACTGAGCACACAGGGAGTGAGAACAGATCAGGAATCTGGGAGCAAAGCTGTCATTGTGCCATCAAAGGAAAAAAAAGTGGCACAAACCCCACTCCTTTAGAGGAAAATGCCCATCTTCAAAAACCACTTAAAAGGGGGATAACCTGTGAAAGGAAGGGATGAATCTAACAGGTGCTTTCAAGCAGTATCAGGCCAGTTGAGGGCAAGAAGATAAATAAGCAAAGTGAGAAAAATGAAACTCAGAGCAGTATAAATCTTTAGTAAGTGCTGCACTTCTGTGGAAGAAGAAAATATTTCTCTTCAGGTTTCCACAAAGAGGCAGAAAGTCATTCTGGCAGCACTTTGGTACTGCCATGCCTAGCAGTTGATTGTAATCACTGAACATGAGATTGCAAATCACACAGGGGTTTTTGTTTAATACTTTACTAGCTCCAGCAAAAGGTCTGATTTACCTTGGTCACTGAGTCATTTTTAGAAAAAGCATTTTCCCAGCCACTCAGCATTCAGTAAACTCTGCAAACAAGAGTTAAAAATAATGCTAAACCCAGAAGACTGTGACAGTTGCCAGGAGAGGCTGTTCACGTAATTGGCAGGAGCATCTGGAGAAAGAGAACAGGATGGGAGATGGAAATTTGTGATCCAGAGAGAGGGACAACACCTTCCAGAACTGGGAGGAGTTATGACCATTTATTTCCAAATAAATGACAATGAGAGGGCAGTAGGCACAGATCTGTCCCACCAGGATCACTCTTTGTGTTCCTCATACTGTGGATCAGAGCCTCAGGTGGGGGCTGTGAAGATAACTTGATTTGGTATCCAGGGATACAGGAGTGGAACTCTGCTCCATTGGTGAGTGGAGTTCAAAGCACTATTCAAGCCATCTGTCAGCTGAGAGGGAAATTACATCTCCATAGGTTGAAATGGGGACTTTGATGCCCACCTGTAGATGCCTAAATGTGGGTGTCATTCTGAGAGCTGAATGTCAACAGTGGAAGCAAAGCCATCAGAGCTACACCAATTGGCAAGAGCTATAAATCTGAGCCTATTATTTTCCTGGCTTCCAGCATATCTATGTCCTTATTTACATTAACCAAAGTTAGCAGACACAGTTTGCTAACAAATTCACTCCTGGCAGCAGGATAGAAATGAAGTTATTTTACAGATCCTCATAAAATAGATTGCTAACTGTTCATGAAATATTAAATTCAGGGGCTTATGCCTGGAATATTTAATGCAGTTAATGATGCATCTTTGACCTCCTTTGTGCTTTTGTGGTTTGGCCAAAGTGTTCATACATCTGGAATTTGTCTTCTTCATAAAATGTTAAGTAAATGCAAATTTGTCATCACATACATGAGAAATTACAGAGCTTTGCTTTGAAAATTCACCTTCACTGTGTCTTGAGTAAAATGCCACATTTTAAGTATCTCTTTGGATGTAACAGAACATTTGCTGATCTCAAGGAATGTAATACTATACTTGCTTCAAGTTGAGGCAAGAATTTTCCTCTGGCTCTGTAGTGCAATGTACACATCTCCTTAAATGAGCTTGGTTTGCCTGCAAAACACTCCTGCAGAGCTGTGCAATGGCATGGCAAGTAATAACTTAAACCTGCCTAGAGCAGCATCTTTTAAGAAAAAATTTCCAGCCAGTGTCACATTTAGTCAGCACAGGAGATGCTGTCAGTGCTCTAGCTGAGACTGCCAAATTTTAGCCTTGAAAATGGTAAGTCAGCCTTGCTCTTGTGTCCTGCTCTTCCCACTCCATGGGGCAAACAGCTGGATTCACACACAACCTGCGTGTGCCGGGACATGCTGAGAAATGGTGAACTGCAGTCAATGCTTGCTCTGAGGAAGAGGAGCTCTGGCAGGGAAAAATATGCTAAAAATGTGCTAAAACCTGCCATTTGAAGAAGATACCTCAGAGTCTGAAGAAATAAAGAAAACATGCAATTATTTCTCATAACTGTTTTTCCCTCTTTCTACAACAAAACAAACAGACTGTTTTAAGTAATCACCTGAAGTAATGATCTGCATTTCCAAAAGGTCTTTTATAGTCCTTTTCCTGTCTTCTTTGGAGCATGGTTATATGAATTGAAAGTTTATTCACCTGGGCTTTGACACAATTTGTTTATAGTTCATCTCTGTATCCTTGAATGGATTTTCCTCCTTCCCTGATTCATCACAGGGTATCGGTTTGGGCTCCTTATGCAAGATTTGCTAATGGCTGTTTTCTATTCCATCTCTTCTTTTTATCAGAGATTTTGCTCAGTGACTCAGGATTTGTAGCCGCTGTAAGAGTTCATTTCAGTTCTTGGAAGCATTTAGGGGGATTGAGCTTGGCATTCTGTAGGTTAGTTGCTTAGCTACCTAGTGTGGTCTAGGAACATCTCTTTTTTTTTCCCCTCTATACTTAGCATGTCCACTGTAGTCTGAACTTTCTTCTGTGCCTCCTTTCATTGTATACATTAGCAGGCTTTTATAAAGATTTGCTAGCTAGTTCTGTGAGAGACTGTACCAGCACATTTTGTAAGTGCTGTGCTGTTCCTGTTGCTGGTCTTCAGCAGTTATCCCTTTTGAATGGACTTCTATGATTTTGTGGTATCATTGTGTGGTTAAATTTCCTTAAGGGTTGTAAGAATTTCTACTTATACTGGCCAGTTTAGGTCATTTCAAATCTGGTAGGTCATTTCAAATCTGGCCTCAGTACAAACTCCATTGACTCCACACATAAACATGGAGCAAATTTTAACAGTGTCTGAAATAGCTGATCTTCTGTATTTGTCACTTAATTCTGCTTTGTTTCAGGAAGCAACCACAATCATTCAAAAGGCACAAACTTGTGAACATGTTCACACATCACAGTGTCCTGGGCTCACCGTGTAACCTCTCACCAAGTAAGGAACTAATCAATAGGGATGGTGCCTTTGAAAGTTACCAGATCAAAAATACCTGAGCTGCCTTCAACCTGCATGTTC